AAGATTGGAAAAAAGGGATACAAGGGGAAACCATATCATGGTGGAGGAGTTTATGAGTTTTTAGATGTTGATATAGATAGGTTATCTTATTTTGAATTGAGGGATTGTCTGAAAGAGTTGGGGTATGAACCTGGACAATGTGTGTTGTATGTAAAACTTCCTAGAAGTACTGCTATGTTAGAAATCAAATCTGATTATGAAACTACTTTAATTGCTGAGTGTTTGAGTCATGGAGATATTTTGGACTGTTTTGTGTGTCACTTTATTGTTGATCCAGTTTTGGTCCACTTTTATTGGAATATGGGGAAAATGGAGTAGGTGAGGGAGCATCTCAAAACAGTGGGCCTAATGCATCTTTTAATGTTGAATTAGAACCAACATATGAGGCCCAAGAAAATGCCTCAAACCTTGCCTCAAACCCTGCCCATGCCTCTGCCAATTCAAATACATCTTCTCATGTACACTCTTTCACTGCTCCAAATACTCCTCCTCCTACTGATCAAACTCCAACCTCTATCCATCCTTCTACTGATCCAACTCTTGATCCTGTCCATCCTTCCTCTGATCCAATTTCTGACCCTGTCCATCTTTCTAATGAACAAAATTCAGATAGAGAATCATTGAATGAGGGAGGGGGGATTTAATGGGAGTGATGTAGATGATGAACTAAGAAGTTTTAGGGAGGAAAGGAGTAAAAGAAAGAGAAAGAAAAGGGGAGAAAGAGCTCCATTGCCTGATCATGTCAAGTTAGGAAACAGAAAAAAGGGTACAGATGCTGGATATGATGAATCTACAGGTGGTAATAGAAACAACTTAGAAGGCAAGCTAGCTGGTGATGAGCCTTATTATCCCTCAAATGAAGCTGCCAGTTTTGAAACAGATCCAGATGCTTTCAGTGATGATGAAAACGAGGTTCAACAAAGAGAGAGAGTTAAGCCAAGAAGGAGAAAGAAGGTGAATAGAGTTGTATTTGACGCATCTTCTCAGAAAGTAGTGTGGGAATTGGGTCTTGTATTTGAAAGTGTTAATGAGTTTAGATCTGTTGTTACCAAATATGTTGTTGCTGAACATGTTGCAACTGAAATGTATATTAATGAACCAACAAGGGTAAGGGTTAGGTGTACAGTTGGTTGTCCTTGAGTTTTATTTGCTAGGTTTAATTCTAGGACAAATAATTTTGTTATAAAGACATACAATCCAGTTCACAAATGTTATCCTACTAATAGGAACAAGCTTCGTAATAGCAAGTTCTTATCTAGTCACTACAGTGAAAGGATAAAGGACCAACTTGACATTAGAATCTTTGATTTTCAAGGGCTTATTAAAAAAGAATTGGATTTATATGTTGGAAGAACAGTGTGTAGGAGAGCAAGAAACAAAGTATTACAAGAGTTAATGGGTGACTATGTTCTTAAGTTTGGGAGGATTTTGGACTACAAAGATGAGTTGCTAAGAACTAATCCAGGTAGTACATGTGTAGTCAAGCTTCATGAAGAAACATTTGAAAATGGTAGAAAAATGTTTCAAGGCTTCTACGTATGTTTTGATGCAATGAAGAAGTCCTTCTTAGCTAGTTGTAGGAGGTGCATTGGTTTGGATGGTTGTTTTCTAAAGGGAGTATCTAAAGGTCAATTATTGGTTGCTGTTTGTAAAGATGGGAACAATCAAATGTTGCCACTGGCTTAGGCAGTAGTTGAAGTTGAAAATAAGTTTACTTGGGCTTGGTTTGTCAAACTTCTAAAGGAAGATCTTCAGTTAGGAGATGGTACAGACCTCACAATCATATCAGATATGCAAAAGGTTAGAATATTTATTGATTTTTTTTATTTATTTCATGTCTTGAATGCCATTTATTTATGAATGTCTTAGTTTCTTTAATGTCTTAGTTTCTTAGTTTCATGTCTTGAATTTTCTTATAGGGTCTTGAAATTGCCATAACTGATCATTTGCCAAATGTTGAGCATAGAATGTGTGCTAGACACATCCTTGCTAACTGGTCAAAGAGATGGAGAGGTCTTGAGAGAAAGAAATTGGAGGTGTGCAAGGTCTACTTTTGAGGCTGAGTTAAATGATAACATTAGTTATATGAAAAGGTTGGGCAATAATATAGTTGATCACTTGTTGTATTATAATCCTGAAAGATGGAGCAAGCTTTACTTCAATTTTACCTTAAAATGTGATGTTGTAGATAATAACATGACTGAATGTTTCAATTCATGGATATTAGCAGCAAGACATAAGACTATAATTACAATGCTTGAAGAAATTAGGGTGAAAATGATGAAAAGAATAAGGCAGATGAGAGAGTTTTGCAATACTTGAATCTGTGACATTTCTCCAATGGCAATGAAGGTTCTACAAGATAACACATCTAAGTCTATGAAATGCAGCATTGAATGGAATTCAAATACAGGGTATGAGGTACTTCATGGACCATACAGACATGTAGTAGATATTCAAAGGCAAATATGTAGTTGTAGAGCATGGATGCTGAAAGGCATACCATGTCCTCATGTAATGGAAATTGGACCCAATCAACTACATTTCTCATTGCTATAACAGAGAAACATACATGAAGACATACAACTACTTCATTCAGCCAGTTATGAATCTGAAAATGTGGCCAGAATCACAAAACATCTCTGTGATACCACCTCATGTTAGGAAGATGCCAGGAAGGCCTGGCAAGAAAATGAAGAAAGAGCAAGGTGAGACCAGTAAAACTGGAAAATTATCCAAAATAGGGATTGAGATGTCATGCAGCACTTGTCATAACAAGGGTCACAATAAAAGAAAGTGTCCTCTTGGTGCACCTGCTTCTGGCACAAGCTTTACTGCTGGACCAAGTTCAAGACCTGCTGCTGGACCAAGTTTAAGACCTCCTTCTGGCCCTGGTGTTGCACCAAGTTCAAGACCTCCTTCTGGTCCTGTTGCTGCACCAACATCAACACAAACTGTTGGCCCTGCTACTGCACCAACATCAACACAAATTGCTGGCCCAAGAGCAACACCTAATGCTCCAACTGAAAGAGGAAGGGGTAGACCAAAGGGTTCAAC